CTTTTCGAGGAAAGGGGGGCAGCCATCTGCTTCCTGCGGCTCAGGACCAACCGCTGCTGAGGCACGGAGGAGGATGGGCTCGTGGGGATCGCAGGTGGATCCGGCTGATGAGTTTAAAAAGGGGTTTTCCCTCTCGCGCTCGTCGGCTGTGGACGAGAGTAAGCTGCTGGAGGATGATGTTATTTCTTTAACATCGTTTGATCCGGGGGCCGGTGCTCTGCTGGGTTCGGCCCAGTAAGAGCAGGAGATGTCTGAGGACAGCGAAGAAGCCGAGGCTGAGCCTTCCCAATCCTCCTGCTCTGCGTATGGTGAGTTTTGAGCGTTATCTTTCTTACGCATTCATCGATTCCAGCATACGAGTTATGCCAACATCGCCTCGGAAACGACTATGAGATGCACGGAAACGACTATGAGAGGATTCCCCTGTAAAAAAGACGACTGGCTAGCTATCTTTCTATGGGTGAGACGTCCTCTCTTAAAACTCCCTCCTTGCCATCTCGCTTAGATGGCAGAGCATACGCAGCAGCAGGTCAGGCTGTTGCTTCGTTGCGCACAATGCGGTGCTCCAGGCATATTAGGCTGACCTGCTGGAAGACCTGGATAAAGGCCTGATGAGGTAGCTGAGTTTCACCGCACCACAGATCTCACTCTCTGTGCTACTAAGCATGGCAGCTATAGTAGGTATTGAGAGACATCTGTGGGTGAACCTGGCAGATATCGGGATGGAAGAGAGGGGCTTTCTTCTCGATGCGCCGGTTTCGCCTTCCGAATGGTTTTGGTTACCTCCGTTGAGACGGTGGTCGAGAGCTTTGAGCTTGCCTCTCCTGTTTGGCCCAGTACCTCCGGATATCTGTGATCAGATGCCTGGAAATTTAAAGCCATGCTATGGTAAGTGCACACGCTAAGCTCTGTGCACTTTCTGAAACCCACATAGTGGTAAGTGTGCACGTTGAACACTTTGCGCACTTTCTAAAATCCACAGTAGTGGTAAGTGTGCACGCTGAGCACTTTGCGCACTTT